CTCCCCAACCGCTCCCCCAACCCCCCAGTGAACTTCCTGCAAGCACAGCTCAGTCTGGTTCCCAGGGAACCTGACCTGCTGCACTTGGCACGGGGAGTGGCCCAGAGAGCAGATGTGGTATTTGGAGGTAGGCTGCACTGACAGCTGGGATGCGATGGCAGCAGTGCAGTTAAACTCACCAGCGGTGGTTGGTCTGTACCAGGGCAAGCTACTGCCTGGGCTGCTGGGACAGTACTGCATGGAGGACAATGGGATTGATGGTTGTGGCTGGGGAGAATAGATTCGTTGGGGGAAAGGCTGAGGGTGATAATTTAACAATTAAAGGGTAAACAGGGTAAACAGGGTAACCAGAGGGCTTCCCTGGTAGCCTAAAAAGAGACCACCTGCAGCCACAGGCCAGTACTTAGTCCTAAGACCTGTCGAGCCCCAGAGAAGGCTGGATTCTTACTCAGCCCTGGCAGGTGTGCTACCTCAAGGTCAGGAGGAGGGACCAGACCCTAAGATGTGGATTTGTGCATACAAATTGTGAATCCCAGATATCTCTAGCACCTGAAGAAGTTTCTAGTCCTCTCTTAAAGGCTCTGCAAGAGGCTTCTGTCTTGAAAAAGAATACATGCTCCTTAAGTACTGATGGCTCCTTCCCTCTGGCCATTAAGTCAACATAACCTGGCCAAGAGGTACTGGGCCTGCTAAGGGAATGTATGAATGTAAGGGTCAGTCAGGGAACAGAACTGTAGTCATTTGAACAAGTAATATTTAAGGCATCTTAACTAGTAATGGGATTAGCTGCCAAGGAGTAAAGAGCGGGCTGAACGTTATGGTGATAAATGAACGTTATGGTGATAAACACAGGGAACAGCTAACTGAGGCAGAGTGCTGAAGGAAGGAACAAAAGTAGAAAGATTTGGCCAGGTGACATCCACTGGCCTCTGTTGTCTGCTCTCCCAGTACAGGTACCTTGGGCTCTTCAACAGAGTGATCAGGAGGCTGTGTGTGGGCCCAACTACATGGCGCTCCCCATTCACCAGGGCTGTTCTTTCTAGCCACTGTGTCGCTGAATGTCCAACCTTGCAACACAGACTGAACGCTGAGTCCCCATAGTACAACACTTTGAGGGAAATAGTCACTTGTTGGCAAGTTGACAACACTGAACCCCTTGTGCCCCCAAAGGTGCAGAGATTGATCTTGACTGGAATGGACATGTATTGCAGGCATGGGTTTGCAGGGCCTCAGTGAGCTCTCTTATCCAAGGCTCACAGTGAGTGTGGTCTGCTGATGCATCCTGCTTAGCATCTTGTTACACATGGGGACCTGATTTACAGCAGAGGGGCTGCAGTGGGTGCACAGTTGTGGGACACACGGGCTCCTACACGGCCACACACATAAACACCAGCCTGATGGAGTGGTGGGGTGTCCCATGGCAGGCACAGCTTGGGTGCCAGCCTGAGGATGATGCCCCGCAGTGATGGAGCAGGACCCTCCAGGGTGCAGTGGACACTACATCATTCTAGTTGTCAATCCTGGAAGTGGGAGTGGCCCTGCTTACCAACACTCAGTTCTGCAGGTTGTCCTGACTTCCAGAGAGGCAGCCCACCAGGGGCACAGGCAGAGTACCATTCAATCCCAAGGCCCAGCTGCCGCCCAGTCATTTCAAGTTTCTTATTTGAAGAGACTGGCAGGCAAGGAATATCACCTCCATCCTGCTCTGGATGAATGTCCTGGTCATATGTTAGGGCTGCTGTTACATAATGGGGAGCATGGAAGCATATACTTGGCACCAAGGTGATATAATTGGTCACTTCTTGGTCCCCTGCCCAAATTTCACAGCACACACATCAGCCGTGGCCTGAGTAAAGCACGGTAACCAGAAGCTTACACCTCTCAGGGATGAGGATTTGGTGACTCCATCAGTAAGCTACCTAGACCAGCAGAGGTGCTCTGCCAGGGCTGGGGACCTTGGGCTGGGTTGTAGAGGAAGAAGGTGGATGTTTTTTGCAACTTTGAGGCCAGCTGCAGTGCCATTACACTTCCTGTCAAAAGTTTCCTCCTGGAAGAAGGCCACCAGAATCTGAAGCAGCTGCCCAGAAGGCATCTGAAGCAAGGCTCTGTGAGCAGCAGGTAGTGAGCCGCAGGGTAGGGCTGCAGTGAGCACCGGATGGCCATGGCCGACCCATACAGGAAACCAGCGCCCCAAGGGCTGGGTCCCTTGCAGGTGGGCTGCTCACAACCCAGCACCTCCTGGTGATTGCCTCAGCCGCAAAGAACTGCTTGGCCCAAGGGCACACCACTTTCCTGGGAGCAACCAATCCGATGGCCGGTTGGTGCTGGGTATAAAGGCCCAGCTCCCTAGAGCCACAGGGGACAGCTCTGCAGGGGCACGTCTGCTCCAGAACAGGCCTTTGTAGTGACTGGATCTTGGCCCAGGCTTCCTTCCTTCACTCGCTGCAGGTGTCAATCCTGAGACCACTCCTCAGTACCCTTTATGAACAGAAACCTTGTCTCCTAGACGGTCACGGGGCAATGCCTGTGCCACACCTGTCCCAGTGTGCGAGTATGACACACTCATGTGTACAAATGGGGAGATTTGGTCACTGATTTAAAAAATGGGATCCTATATCCTGGCCAGTTGGGTTCAGCGATTAGAGCATCAGCCTGTGGTCCAGAGAGACCCGGGTTCGGTTCCTGCTAAGGGCGCGTGCCTCGGTTGCAGTTTGTCGCCGGCCCTGGTTGGTCGTGCGGGCGGCAGCCACTCGATGTGTCCCTTTCACGTCGATGTTTCTCTCTCTCTCTCCCTCCCACTCTATCTGAACAAAAAATGGAAAATGTCCTCAGGTGAGGATAAAAAAAAAAAAAATAGAACATTAGCGTCACCCAAGAGGCCTATCTTTGCTCCCTTTTGGATCAGTCCATTTCTTCCCAGCTTCCAAAGGTGATGCATAGATTTTTTAATTTTAATAAGTGTTGACAGTTTTCTTTCCCAAAAGAGTCTAACTACAGCAGGTCCTCAAATCACATTGCTTTGTTATCACTTTGATGAGGTGCCATGGTAACTTAACTCTTGTCTAGAGCAATTAGCCTGTGGCACAATTGGTTTCCTTACTCGGTTTGCTTAAAGTCTATTTGATGATGTTAAGTGAGGACTTACTGTATCCACGTTTTTACCAGCAATGCATGAAATTACCTATCCCCATCCACCTTCAGTTATATTTAATTTTTATTTCCCTGACTGCTAATGAGTTTGAGCATTCTAGCATGTTTCTTTGCTTTTGGGGATTTGCTATTTCGTGTATTGCCTCTTCCTATCTTTTACTCCTATTTCTTTTGAGTTGTTTGTCTTTTTCTGTCAATGTACAAGCCTTGTTGTAGAATACAGGTATTAACCCTTTGTCACGTTTGTCCCAGGTAGTTTTCCCAATGCATTTGTTTCTTTTAGAAGTGCTAGTTGTACCATCTCTATTTCTTAATGTGTCCTTTGCTGCTTACTTGAAACACCATTTTTGTTGTATATTAAAGTCTCCTAAGTCTTGGGGTCAGTTTCTGGATTGTCTCTTCTGATCTAGAGATCTTTTTTTTCTGTTCCTATTCAAATACTATGTGGATTTGATTACAGTGGCTTTATAGTATGTTCTGATAATCTGGCAAGGCAAGTCATTTTTTTGGTAACCTTTCTTGTCTATTTTCAGGTATTTAACATTCTGTATGTATTTCGAAATTATTTTTTTCAATTAAAAGAGCTCTGTAAGGCCCTGGCCAGTTTTGCTTAGTGGTTAGAGCGTCAGCCCGAGGACCAATGAGTCATGTGTTTGATTTCAGTCAAGGGCACGTACCTCGGTTGTGGTTAAGTCCAGCCCTGGTCAAGGTCGTGCAGGAGGCAACCATTGATGTGTCCCTCTGACATCGATGTTTCTCTCTCTCTCTCCCACTCTATCTGAAAATAAATAGAAAAATGTCCTCGGGTAAGGATTAAAAAAAAAAAAAAAGAGCCCTGTAAGGTCTCTAGTTGAAGCTGCATTAAGTGTGTGTTTGGAAGAATTAAACATTTTTGTATATATTTCAATGCTATGTCTTTCCACTGTATAGGTCTTGTTTTATGCCATTTCATAAGATTTTAAGGTTTTTTTTGTTGTTAATCCTCACCCAAAAATATTTTTTCCATTGAATTTTTTAGAGAGTAGAAGGGAGGGTGATGAGGAGAAAGAGAGAAACATTGATGTGAGAGAGACACGTGGATCGGTTGCCTCCTACACATGCCCCGACCAGTGGCCAGGCATCAAACCTGCAACCCAGGTACATGCCCTTGACCAGGGATTGAACCCATGACCCTCTGGTGCACAGGCTAATGCTCTCACGACTGAGCCACGCCAACCAGGTTCCAAAAAAAGATTTTGTTTTAATCATTGAGTGCCTTGTTCCTTTCTTGTAAATCTATCCTAAGTATAACTTTTTTCTGTTGTAAATGTGAGATTTCCCTGCGTCTGCATTTCTTGATGGTTATCGCGCTATGGGGGGAGGAACATCACTGCTTCTGAGCACAGACTCCTGAGTCATGTTGCCTGGGGTTGAATCCAGATTCCATCACTTCCTGTTCAGACCGGGCTTATTAAAATGAAAGCAACATTTAAATCAGAAGTTTGTATTAATGATGTTTTACTGGATCTCTAGTTGTTCCATTGCAATATTATTCAGTCTAAGAATTTCCTCAAACCTTTACTACTTACAAGGTTTCTTACAAGGGTTTTCACAATTAAGTATTCCAATATAAATACCACGTAGCAATTTTTAATAAACATTTCATGGTTACATGGATCTGCCTCCAGTTAATTTGAAGGTACTTGACATTAATAGGCATTTTGGTGGTGAATTTTATGATGTTGTTTTACATAAGTAAATAATGAATAAATAGCATAACCCTAGAGGCTATTTTTAATGTTAACTAATTATGTGACTTAGATTCCAATGTTCCTTTAATGGCTCGTGTTTCATTTTGGTGTTTTTAAAAGCTGCAGCAGTGGTGAACAAATCCAGTGTTCAGTGTGCAGGACTATGTGAAGATGAGAATCAAGCACTGGATAAACAGGTGAATCATAGGTGGATACAATGGCTTAAAATATTGGGGGTGGGGGGGTCATCGTTCTCCAGGAGCTTGGGGTTTAATTTGTGTGCAGGGAAGAGGAAGACAGAAGTAGCCAGGATCTCTGCACTGTGGCATGTGCCCTGATGGCAGTCAGGTCTGAGCACAGGAGAGCGGACCCGGTCTTTGTGTGGTCTCAGCTTGCTTTTTCTGGGTAGTAGGGAGAGGAGTCTGGGACGTCCCTATTTTATTTTATTATTCTATTCTATTTTTAAAATCTAATGTGCAACCCTTTGGTTCACAGGCCGGCGCTAAGCCAAACTGACCAGGGCTGAAGTATTTTTTATTTATTTTAATCTTCCCCAAAGGATATTTTTCCATGTATCTTCAGATAGAGTGGGAGGGAGAGAAGATAGAGATAGAGAGAGAGAGAGAAACATCGATGTGAGAAGACATACTGACTGGTTGCCTCCCTCAAGACCCTGACCAGGGCCGGGGACCGAACTGCAACCGAGGTACGTGCCCTTGACCAGAATCGAACCCGTGACTCTTGGGTCTGTGGGCTGACGCTCTAATCACTGAGCCAGACTGGCCAGGGCTGGGATGTCTCTCTATTAATTATGAAAATTATACCTGAGTGGAGAGCTAGAGGATGATGAGGAGCTGGTCAGCCTTTAGAGAGTTGGGGAAGGACTCTGAGAGAACTTTTCAGGTTCAGGGAAGAGAGCTTGGAACTTTTGGGTAGTGGAAATATAGAGAAGTTCAGAAAGGAAAGGGTATAATTCACAACAGGTGAGTTAGGTGGTTTGGGCTTGAGGAGAGAGGGAAGAGGTCCTATCTATCAGAGGCTCTGTATGTGAAATGGGTCAAGACAGTATAGTGGTAGAGGGAATGGACTGTGAAGCAAACTACCTGTGTTCAGATCCCAGTCCAGCGGAATGTCATCTAAACTCCCTGCAGGAAAACAGGACCTGTCCACTGAAGTGGAGGGAAGTAAGTGAATGGAAATGCTCTCTCCACAGTGTTCAGACTGTGCTTCCTGATCCCTGAGGCAGAGGTCTCCAAACCATTTTGCTTCCTGTCTCTCAAAAGAATTTTGAGAAGACATGTACCTTCTGACATTTTAAAGTTGACATTTAAAGGTTTCATCACAAATTTTATTTTTATTATTATTTTTTGTTAATCCTCACCCGAGGGCATTTTCCCATTGATTTTTTTATAGAGTGGGAGGGCTCAGTGATTAGAGCGTCAGCCCACAGACCAAAGAGTCACAGGTTCGATTCTGGTCAAGGGCACGTACCTCGGTTGCAGTTCGGTCCCCGGCCCTGGTCAGGGTCTTGAGGGAGGCAACCAGTCAGTATGTCTTCTCACATCGATGTTTCTCTCTCTCTCTCTATCTCTATCTTCTCTCCCTCCCACTCTACCTGAAGATACATGGAAAAATATCCTTTGGGGAAGATTAAAATAAATAAAAAATACTTCAGCCCTGGTCAGTTTGGCTTAGCGCCGGCCTGTGAACCAAAGGGTTGCACATTAGATTTTAAAAATAGAGAGGGTGAGAGAGAGAGAGAGAGAGAGAGAGAAACTCAATGTGAGAGAGACACGTCAATTGATTGCCTCCTGCAGGACCCCTACCAGGGTCGGGGATCTAACCTGCAACCCAGGTGTGTGCCCTTGACTGGGAATCGAACCTGCCACCCTTCCATTTGTGGTGGCCAAGGCTCATCACAAATTTTAAAAGTTTCATAGGACATGATTTCTGGTTATTGATAATGTTGACATTTTAAAAATTGTTACATCATCATCTAGAATATAGCCACTAAGATCTAAATACACATTATACTCTGGTAACTTGATATCTATAATCATCCCTTTAAAAAATACTTAAGCCCTGGCTGGTTTGGCTCAGCAGTTAGAGCTTTTGCCCACAGACCAATGAGTCATGGGTTCGATTTTGGTCAAGGGCGGTTCGTCCCTGGCCCTGGTCAGGGTCATGCAAGAGGCAGACAATCGAAGTGTCTCTCTCACATCAATGTTTCTCTCTCTCTGTCTTAAGATAAATAGAAAAATATCCTTAGGTGAGAATTAACAACAACAAATATATATATACATATATATATGAATGAGTAAATAAAAATACTTCAGCAAGACATTCTTTAACAGTCTGAGTTTTTATACTTTTCTTTTCTCCATGAGCTCCTTTTCTGTGTACACCGCCACAGATTTTTAATGTAATAAAGTTTTGTGCTTGAAAATCTTTTCTTGAAAACTTTATATTTCTCTGCAATAAAAATGAATATAAATTAAAATTTTCTGTGACCCTATGACCAAGTGTTAAAACATTTTCTTTCAAAATTATTTAAAAGTACTATTAGTATACAGTTGTTCAAAACAGCATATCATAAAATCTGAACAGTAATCATTAAAAATAATATTTTACTGTAAATGAATCCTATAATGAAAAGGAGAGACATGATTCCCACCCCCCTCGGTTAGTCTGTGATTCTATGAATGAATGTTGCATATTGTTAGATCGAGACAGGAAGAGGATTGCTGCTGAGCCATATTTAAAAAAAACGTTTAGTAGATAAACATACTAAAGAGATGTGGCCATTTTTTTTTATCCTCATTCGAGGACACTTTTCCATTTTTTGCACAGACAGAGTGGGAGGGAGAGAGAGGAAGAGAGAGAGAGGGAAACATCGATGTGAAAGGGACACATCGAGTGGCTGCCACCCGCACGACCAACCAGGGCCGGGGACAAACTGCAACCAAGGTACATGCCCTTAGCGGGAACCGAACCCAGGTCTCTCGGACTGCAGGCGGACGCTCTAACCGCTGAGCCAAACCGGCCAGGGCGAGATGTAGCCATTTTATTTTCTCTATGAATGGCCTGAACTTGGAAGCTGTAATTCCTGCCCTTGAGTCTCCTGCACATCTGTAGCCTGCTCCCACCATGGCATCTCTGTGCTTGCAAGATTCCAGCACGGGTGCGCTTGCAGACCTTTTGAACTGCCTGGTTGCCCCCCGCCCCGTGCGCTCCTTCACATACTTTAGAAAGTTTGATCAGAAATTAGTTTGGTTTATAGATCTCTGTCTTATGAATCCGTAGGTAATGAAATGCTTTCAATTTTTCCATAGGATCTTTATTCTTTCACAAGCCAGACGTCAAGCGCTTCCGTCAAACGCCCCTCTCAGTCCTCCAGCATCAGACTCGTAGATCAGCTGTCCGCTGACCTTGGACAGACCATCGGCTCACCGGCTCCTTTCAGCTGTCTAATTCCCCAGCATACCCAAGAGGCTTCAGTTCTGCAGAAAACGGAACATAGAGGAAAACATTTCCTAAAGAAGCATTTAAGTAATGAAAATAAAGAAAGCATGAATCTTAAAAGAAAACATATTACATGTGATAATTCACCAGAGGAAACAAGTAAACATATGGTATTGAAAGAAGATGCTGATGTGGGGGAAGCCTCCCTGAACTCTGGGAACCCAGGAACGTTCAGACACCATTTATGTGATATCAGGTATTTGGATGATGTGGAGAAAAGCCAGCTGATTGAAACGCTCAAACAGGCAGCAGCCCTGGTGGTAACGCTGATGTATAAGGATGGTTCAACCCAGCTGAGAGCTGACCAGGTTAGGAAACAGTGTTGTCCGTGTTCATTTTCTTTTTCTGGCACTATGAAAGAAACCCATTTTCTTTGCGTCTGATTTTGATGGGAGCCTAGAAGTAAGATTTTTTTCCCTTCTCCCCCAGTGGTAAGATATTGATAATGCATAGTAGTTCATAACCTGTTTTTTAAGAAAGTGCCAAAATGTTTTCCAGAGTGTTTGTACGTTGTATGTTCCACCAGCAATATACGAGGGTTCCAAATCATCAGCTCCTTGCCAATTTTTGTTGTCTGTCTTTTTTATTTTAGCCGTTCAGGTGGGTGTGGTTGGGTTTTTTTTTTTTTCCTCACCTGAGGACATTTTTCCATTTTTTGTTCAGATAGAGTAGGAGGGAGAGAGAGGAAGAGAGACAGAGAGAAAAACATCGACGTGAAAGGGACATATCAAGTGGCTGCCACCGCACGACCCAACCAGGGCCGGGGACAAACTGCAACCAAGGTACATGCCCTTAGCGGGAACTGAACCGGGTCTCTCTGCACCGCAGGCCCACGCTCTAACCGCTGAGCCAAACCGGCCAGGGCCATAGCTTCAGCTTTTACATTTCAGTCTGTGATCCATTGTGAGTTGGTTTGTGTGTGTGGTGTGAGATAGGCACAGAGCCACCCTTTTGCGTGTGGGTATCTGGTTTTCCCAGCACTGTGGTTGAGAAGCTTCTTCTCTCCCCATTGAATTTCTTAACACTTTTATCGAAAAGTAACTGACTGTAAATGTCAGGGTTTATTTATGGGCATTCAATTCTTTCTATTGATCTAATTGTATATCCTTATGCTGGTACCACTCTGTCTTGATTACTTTGGCTTTGTAGTAAGTTTTGAAATCAGAAAATACGAGTAACTGTGTTTTTCATGATTATATAAGCTATTCCAGCTTCTTTCACTTCCATATACATTTTAGGATCAGTTTGTCAATTTCTGCAGATACCCAGGTAGTTATTCTGATACAGACTGTGTCAAATCTATACACTAATTTTGGGAGCTTTGCCATCTTAACAGGATTGTGTTTTCTGACCCATGAATAAATAGGGGTGTCCTTTCATCTAGTTTCTTTTTGTTGTTGTTGTTGGTAATCTTTACCTGAGGATATTTTTCCATTGATTTTTAGAGAGAGTGGAAGGGAGGGAAGGAGGGGGAGAGAAAGACATCGATGTGAGAGAGACACATCGATTGGTTGCCTCCTGCACAACCCTGACCAGGGCCGGGAATCAAACCTGCAACCCATGTACCTGCCCTTGTCCAGGAATCAAACCCCAGACCCTTCCGTCCAAGGGACGACACTCTAACCGCTGAGCCAAACTGGCCAGGACAAAATTTTGATTTCTTTTAACAGTGTTAGGTAGTTTTCAGTGTAGTATATAAATCAAATCTTACGTTTGATTTTTTTGTTGTTGTTTTTAATCCTTACCCGAGGATATTTTTTCCATTGATTTTTAGAGAGAGTGGAAGGGAGAGAGGGAGAGAAAGAGACAGATAGATAGACATCGATTGATTGTCTCCGTCAAGCACCCCAACAGAGGACGGGGATTGAACCTGAAACCCAAGTACGTGCCCTTGACCAGGAATCAAACCTGAAACCCTTCAGTGCGCAGGGCAAGCTCCAACCACCAAGCCACACCGGCCAGGACACCTTTGATTTTTTTAAAAGACTTTTTTGTTGGCTAAAAAATTGTAAGTTGATAGTTTTTTCTTTTAGTAACTTAATGCTATTACTCCACTCTCTTCTAACTTGCTTTGTTTCCCACAAAAAACCTGTCATTTTTGTTTCTAAGGAATGTGTTCCTTTTTCTGGCTTCTTTTTTTTTTAACTGATTTGTTTTTTTGAGAGAGTGAGGGTGGGGGTGAGAGGGAGAGAAGGAGGGAGAGATGGATTGGTTGCCTTCTGTGTGCCCCTGAGCTCCTCAACTGGGGTTTGAACCTGCAACCTGGGTATGTGCCCTGACCGGAATCGAACCTGCCACTTTTTGGTGTACCAGAGGATGCTCCAACCAACTGAACCATAAACCAACTGAACCATAAACCAACTGAACCATACCGGCCAGGGCCCCTCTGGCTTCCTTCTTTCTTTCTTTTTAAAATTTTATTTATTCCTTTTAGAGAGAGAGGAAAGGAGAGAGAGAGAAACAGTGATGAGAGAGAACATCGACTGGCTGCCTTCTGCATACCCCCCACTGGGGATTGGGCCCACTACCAGAAATCAAACCGGTGACCTCTTGGTGCATGGGTCGACGCTCAACCACCGAGCCACACCGGCCGGACCCTTCTGGTTTCTTTTAAGGTGTTTTCTTTATTCCTGGTTTTAAGCAATTTGATTATGATGTGACTTGGTGTAATTCTCTTCGTTTCTTATACTTGGGGTATATTGACCTTCTTCATTCCACAGATGAACTTGGGAGAATTGATGTTCTTGGTACTTCAGGTGGAACACGAATGACATTCTTATTATTTTGAATTTTGTCATCCTCGGGTGTGGTATGTCTCTGTTTCTTAGGTCTCTCTGATTTCTTTCAGCAAAGAAAGATTTAGTGAGGCTGCAGATCAAAACACTGAAACCGCCCTGGCCGGTTTGGCTCAGCGGTTAGAGCGTCAGCCTGCGGTCCGGAGAGACCTGGGTTCGGTTCCCGCTGAGGGCACGTACCTTGGTTGCAGTTTGTCCCCAGCCCTGGTTGGGTCGTGTGGGTGGCAGCCACTCCATGTGTCGCTTTCACGTTGATGTTTCTTTTTCTCTCTCTCTCCCTCTCACTCTATCTGAACAAAATATCGAAAAATGTCCTCGGGTGAGGATAAAAAAAAACAAACAAAAAAGCAAAAACAAAACACTGAAACCACCCTGGCCGGTTTGGCTCAGCGGTTAGAGCCTTGGCCTGCGGTCCTGAGAAACCTGGGTTCGGTTCCCGCTAAGGGCATGTACCTGGGTTGCAGTTTGTCCTCGTACTTTGTCATTTGCAGCATATACATCCTGTCCTTTTTTTTTTTTTTTATCCTCACCTGAGGACATTTTTCCATTTTTTGTTCAGGTAGAGTGGGAGGGAGAGAGAGGAACAGAGAGAGAGAGAGAGAGAAACATCGATGTGAAAGGAACACATCGAGTGGCTGCCACCCGCACAACCAACCAGGGCCGGGGACAAACCGCAACCGAGGTACGCGCCCTTAGCGGGAACCGAACCCGGGTCTCTCAGGACCGCAGGCCGACGCTCTAACCGCTGAGCCAAACCGGCCAGGGCTATTTTTTTAATAGTTATTAAAAACAGTCATTTATTTATTTATTTATTTATTTTGATATTTTGTCAGATAGAGTAGGAGGGGGAGAGAGAGAGAGAAACATCGACGTGAAAGGGACACATCGAGTGGTTGCCACCCACACGACCCAACCAGGGCCAGGGACAAACCGCAACCGAGGTACGTGCCCTTAGCGGGAACCGAACCCGGGTCTCTCTGGACCGCAGGCCGACGCTCTAACCACTGAGCCAAACCAGCCAGGGCTTTTTTCCTTTTATTTTTAATTTTTATTTTTATTGTTTAATCCTCACCCGAGGACATTTTTCCATTTTTTGTTCAGGTAGAGTGGGAGGGAGAGAGAGGAACAGAGAGAGAGAGAGAGAGAGAAACATCGATGTGAAAGGGACACATCGAGTGGCTGCCACCCGCACGACTGATCAGAGCCGGGGACAAACTGCAACCGAGGTACGCGCCCTTAGTGGGAACCGAACCCGGGTCTCTCAGGACCGCAGGCCGACGCTTTAACCGCTGAGCCAAACCGGCCAGGGCAAAACAATCATTTATTTTGTGCGAATTCATTTGTACATGTTTATTGCTAGCGTACAGGAATGCGGTTTCAGTGTTTTGTTTTATCCTCACCTGAGGACATTTTTCCATTTTTTGTTCAGATAGAGTGGGAGGAAGAGAGAGAGAGAAACATCAATGTGAGAGAGACACACATCGAGTGGTTGCCACCCACACGACTCCAACCAGGGCTGGGGACAAACTGCCCTTAGTGGGAACCGAACCCTGGTCTCTCAGGGCCGCAGGCCGAGGCTCTAACCTCTGAGCCAAACCAGTCAGGGCGGTTTCAGTGTTTTGATCTGCAGCCTCACTAAGTCTTTCTGTGGATTCCTTTAGGCTCCCATGCAGACACTGTGTAATCTGTGAATAGAGCATCATCCTTCCTTTCTGGCTTGTGTGCCTTTTCTTCTTTTCCTGTTGCCCTGCACTGGCTAAGACTTCTATTGTGATGCTGAATAGGATGGAGACGAGATTTAGAGAGTGAGATCACGGGTTTGGTTTTTGGCCTTGATTGTCATTAAAGAACTATTCATTTACAAATTTAATTTTAGGCCTTTTCTGTTTTTTTTTTTTTAATCAAATATGCTGAGATTTAAAAGATACATATGTTTTTATTGACTTTTTAGAGAGAGAAGAAGGGAGAGAGAGACAGAAACATCAATGTGAGAGAGATATCGGTCTGCTGCTCCTGCACGCTCCCCACTGGGGATTGAGCCCACAACCCAGGCTTGTGTCCTCTCAGTCCATGGACGACACTCAGTCCACTGAGCCACACCGGCGGGGCCTTTTCCGTCTTTTACATTTTAAAACATCACATGTCTTTCTTGAATAAATGATTTGTCTATGTTTAATATTGAAACTTGATTTCGTTGTGTATTCACAGGCTCTACTTTCCTCTGTTAAAGGGATTGTGATGTTACTACAGGGCCATGCAGACGAAGGCAGCCCTCTGGGTGCCTCAGCCTCCAGCCCTGCGCTGGAGGGGGGCTTGGCCCCCAGTGAGCGGTATGTCTACATAGACACGCAGCACTCTCCTATTTGGAGCCAAGAAGGAGAGACACATGGTCAGTTTGCCAGGTAAGACATTTTCACTCACTGCCTTAAAGTCTACTTATATGACTGATTTATCCCAATCTACAGTTTCCCAGGCTTCAGTTTTAATTATTTAAACTTTTAGATGTTTCCTATGGGCCTATTAATATAAAATAAATCTAAATGACAGAAACTGGTCCTCTCTCCCCCAAAGAGCGTCCATGGGAACCTGCTCCAGGATTTGAACCAACATCTCAATGAGAAGTTGGTGAGAAAGGCATCATCCCCAGGCCTGAAAACCCACTGTCACTGCCCGAGTCCCCCCAGTGAGATTGTGTGTGTGAAGGAAAGAGAGACAGAAAGCGTGGGCCTGGCGCTCTGCCCGGGGTTTCGAGGGTTCATTCTTTATTGGCTAATTTATTTATTTATTTATTTATTATCCTCACCCGAGGACATTTTCCCTTTTTTTTTTTTTGTTCAGACAGAGTGGGAGGGAGAGAGAGGAACAGAGAGAGAGAGAGAAACATCGATGTGAAAGGAACACATCGAGTGGCTGCCACCCGCACGACCGACCAGGGGTGGGGACAAACTGCAAGCGAGGTACGCGCCCTTAGCGGGAACCGAACCCGGGTCTCTCAGGACCACAGGTCGATGCTCTAACCGCTGAGCCAAACCGGCCAGGGCTATTGCTAATTTAAAGCCTCAGAGTGGGAATAGGACATGAGAAGGGAAAAGCAGGGTCACTCAAGTGGTCAGTTATCTAGGTTGCCCAGGGCTTTCTGAACGAGGGTCCTCCGTGGGTGGGGTGGCCTAGACTCTCACGTGGCTGGTTTCCTGGTAGCTGTGTCCTATAGCTAGCAGCGTGTCTGCTCAAGATGGATGTCCTTGGAAAGGGGTACCTTGGCTTTCAAAAGCTAATGTCAGGCGCTCGTAGTATAGTAATTTTTGGTGAGAATGGGACGATGACAAATGCAGCACTCCGCTCCTAAGAAACCCATACTCTTCTTTCTTTCTTTCTTTCTTTCTTTCTTTCTTTCTTTCTTTCTTTCTTTCTTTCTTTCTTTCTTTCTTTCTTTCTTTCTTTTTATTGATTAATTTTTATTACGGATGTTTCTCCTTTTTCCCCCACTGATTCTCCCCTCCCCCTCCCTCCCTACCCTTTCCCCAGTTTGTTGTCCATGACCACTGTTCATGCACACATGCATATAAGTTCTGTGGTTTATCTCTCCCCCACCACCCCCTCTTCTGGGGATTGTCAGTCTGTACCCTACTTTCACGTCTCTGGGACTACCCCATTCCTCAGACTGTTACATTCATTATATTCCACAAATAAGTGAGATCATATGAAACTTGTCTTTCTCTGTTTGGCTTGTTTCACTTAGGATAATACTTTCCAGGTCCCTCCATGTAGTCTCAAAGGATAAGAGATCTTTCTTTCTTACAGCTGCATAGTACTCCATTGTGTATATGTACCACTGCTTTTTTATCCATTCGTCTACTGGTGGACACTTGGGCTGTTTCCAGATCTTAGCTATTGTAAATAGTGCTGCTATGAACATGGGGGTACATATATTCTTTCTGATTGGTGTTTCAGGCTTCTTAGGGTATATTCCTAGAATTGGGATCACCGGGTCAAATGGAAGTTCAGTTTTTAATTTTTTGAGGTAACACCATATTGTTTTTTATTGTGGCTGCACCAGTCTGCATTCCCACCAGCAGTGTACTAGAGTCCCCTTTTCTCCACACCCTCGCCAACACTTGTTGTTTGATGATTTGTTGATGGCGGCCATTCTGACAGATGTGAGGTGATACCTCATTGTTGTTTTACTTTGCATCTCTCTGATGATTAGTGATGAGCATTTCTTCATATGTCTCTTAGCCATTTGTATGTCCTGTTTGGAGAGGTGTCTATTTAGTTCCTCTGCCCATTTTTTAATTGGGTTCTTTGTCTTCCTTTTGTGGAGTTGTAGGAGCACTCTATATGTATTGGAAATTAACCCCTTATCTGATATATCATTGGCAATTATGCTTTCCCATACAGTGGGTAGCCTTTCTGTTTTGATGGTTGTATCTTTTGCTGTGCAGAAGCTTTTGAGTTTGATGTAGTCCCATGTGTTCATTTTCTCCTTTGTTTCTGTTGCCTTAGGTGATGTGTCAGTGAAAATTCTGTTGCGTATGATGTCTGAAATTTTGTTGCCTACAGTTCTTCTAGGATTTTTATGGATTCATGAGTCACATTTAAGTCTTTTATCTATTTTGAGTTTATTCTTGTGTAGGGTGTAAGTTGATGGTCTAGTTTCATTTTTCTGCAAGTAGCTGTTTAATTTTCCCAGCACCATTTATTTATTTATTTATTTATTTATTTTTATCCTCACCCGAAGACATTTTTCCACTTTTTGTTCAGGTAGAGTGGGAGGGAGAGAGAGGAACAGAGAGAGAGAAACATCGATGCGAAAGGAACACATCGAGTGGCTGCCACCCGCACGACTGACCAGAGCCGGGGACAAACTGCAACCGAGGTACATGCCCTTAGCGGGAACCGAACCCGGGTCTCTCAGGACCGCAGGCCGATGCTTTAACCGCTGAGCCAAACCGGCTAGGGCCCAGCACCATTTATTAAAGAGGCTGTCCTTACTCCACTGTATGCTCTTGCCACCTTTGTCAAATATTAATTGAGCATATTGCGTTGGGTCCATTTCTGGGTTCTCTGTTCTGTTCCACTGGTCTATATGCCTGTTATTGTGCCAGTACCAAGCTCTTTTGATTACAGTGGCTTTGTAGTATAACCTGAAATCTGGTAATGTGATCCCTCCAACTTTGTTCTTCCTTTTCAAGATTGCTGTGGCTATTCAAGGTCTTTTTTGGTTCCATATGAACTTTTGAAGTACTTGTTCTAATTCTGTGAAGTATGCTGTTGGTATTTTGATGGGGATTGTGTTGAATCTATAGATTGCTTTGGGTATTATGGACATTTTAATGATGTTAATTCTCCCAATCCATGAACAGGATATGTGCTTCCACTTTTTTTATATCTTCCTCTATTTCTTTTTTCAATGACCTGTAGTTTTCTGCAAATAGGTCCTTTATTTCTTTGGTTAAGTTTATTCCTAGGTATCTTAATTTTTTTGCCGCAATGGTAAATGGGATTGTTTTCTTAGTTTCTCTTTCTGTGAGTTCATCATCGGTGTATAGGAATGCCATCGATTTCTTGATATTAATTTTGTATCCTGCTACTTTGCCAAATTCATTTATTAAGTCTAGTAAACTTTTGATGGAGTCTTTGGGGTTTTCTACATATAGTATCATGTCATCTGCAAATAATGACAATTTCACTTCCTCCTTTCCAATTTGGATTCCTTTTATTTTTTCTTCCTGTCTGATTGCTGTGGCTAAGACTTCCAGTACTATGTTAAATAAGAGTGGCGAAAGTGGGCATCCTTGCCTTGTTCCTGTTCTTAAGGGAAATGCTTTTAATTTTTGCCCATTGCCATACTCTTCTTTTTATATACTTTCCTTTGGAAACAACATCAGTCAGGTCTGTTTTATGGAAGGCCTCTGTGATAATGCAGCCCTAGATTCGGATGGCCTTTTCTGAATTCTAGAGTTATAGAACCTGCCTGACACTGTCCACTTGGATATCTAATAGTCACTTCAGCCTTACCATGTGCAGACCTGGCCTCTTGTCTTCCCTGTATTGTGCCTCCTACAACCGTTATCCGCCCAGTTCACGGTAGCATCAGTCCTCCATGAGCTCAGGCAAGAGTCTCAGCATCTCTCCAGTCTCTCTTTTTCTCATGTACTACATCAGACTCAGTGAATCCCGTTGGCTCTTCCTGCAAAATACAGCTCCACTTGGACCCCTCTCACCGCTGCTGCCCCTCAGTGCAGGCCTGGGCTCTGACTGATGCCTGTAGAGCTTCCCGGCTGGCCTCCCACCTCCACCTGCCCCTCCAGTCTGCTTTTAGCACAGCACCCAGACAGCCCTATGCAAACAGAAGCCCCGTCACATCACTCCCCTGCTCAGAACCCTCCGGCAGCTCCTGCTTGGCTAAGGAAAAGCAGAGTTCTCACAGGAGCCCTGCAGATCTGCATGCCAGCCCCTCCCCTGCCTTGGACCTCATCTTCTCTCCCTGCTGTCCCTGCTCCCCGGCCTTCTGCTGTTCCCACAGGCCCCTAAGGCCGTTCCCTCTCCTGAAGCATTCTCCCAGATAGCCACACGATTGGCCACCTCATTCCTTTATATTTGTTCTTTTTAAATTTATTTTTATTGATTTTTTTTAGAGGGAGAGGAAGGGAGAGAGTGATGGGAACATCGATGTGAGACAGAAACATCAATTGGCCGCCTCCTGCATGCCCCCCCACTGGGGATTGAGCCCGCAACCCTTGCATGTGCCCTGACCAGAATCGAACAGGGACCTACCTCTCAGTCCATGGAACGATGCTCAATCCACTGAGCCACACTGGTCGGGCCTTTTTTTTGAAATACAAAAAGCAAATTATGAAAATGCAATAGTAGAAAGAGTAGTATAATGTGCCCATGTCCCACTCACCTAGACTAGTTATCCAAATACAAGGGGAGGGGCACGGGGCTGGGCTTGAGGAAATTTCCAGACTTGTTTTATGTCATGTGTCTAGTGATGCAGCTGTAAAACGTGAGATTTTTTCACCCAGCCACAGTGTCATTCTCAGACACATTTAATACCCCGGTCGGCCCTGGCCGGTTTGGCTCAGCAGTTGGAGTGTAGGCCTGTGGACCAGAGAGTCCCAGGTTCGGTTCCCACTAGGGGCATATACCAAAAAAAAAAAAAAAAAAAATACCCCGGTCAAATTCAGTCACCTGCTTGCTTCAAAAATGTCCTTCTACACTTGACTAATTGGCTCAGGACCCACAAGGCTCATGTGACATACTGTATAGAAGTCAGACTTCTGCCTCCTCCAGGGAAAGCATCCTCTGACCCCTCACCCCATGTTGCACCAGGTCCCACTTCCTGGACTTCTCTGTTTCCTCACTGTGGGGTTCTTGAACGTGTTCTCCTTTCCTTCGGGTTTTCTGCAGAGTTTAGTTCTGGAGACTGATTATTTAGGCCCAACTTTTTTCACAAGAGCTTCACACTCCATGTGTTGGGCGGTCAGATTTAGTAAATAAAAATGCAGAACACTCCATTTGAATTATAGATAAGAGGCTGACTGGTGTGGCTCAGTGGATTGAGCATCATTCCATGGACTCAGAGGTCCTGGTTCAATTCCTGATTCCTGGTCGGGACACAAGCCCGGGTTGTGGGCTCAGTCACCAGTGGGGGGCATGCAGGAGGCAGCCAAAGGATGTTTCTCTCTCACATGGATGTTTCTATTTCTCTTTCCCTTCCTTTGTCTCTAAATAAATAAATAAATAAATAAATAAATAAATAAATAAAATAAAATCAGTGAATTTTACATAAGCAACAAATTTTTTAGTGTTAGTGTGTCCCAAATGTTTCTTGGGACATTCTTACAGTAGAGGAATACATCTCTAAAGATGTTTACACTTTTTCAGGTAAACATTGTTTAATGTTTTTCTGAATTTTCAATATGCCGTTACTGTCAGAGGAGGTTTACAGCGTGGGCCCAGGCACAGCAAGATTGGGTCTCAGAGCTCAGCTTTGCCACTTGCCAGTTAGCACTTGGAAAATTGTCTACTTTCTCTGGGCCTCGTTTCTTTGTCTGTAAAGCGGATCTCGTGCCCGCCTGATGGACTGTGCTGCGGTGTCAATGCAGCACCTTGTGACGCGTGTGCGTGCCGTCTGCACACGGTGATTGTGGGAGGAGGGTCTTAGGCAAGAACACAGCATGTGCAGTGACTCTGGAGTGGGAGAGGACACAGCAGAGTCTGGCGATGGAGGGAAGAGAGCTCAGTGTGAACAGAGGGGAGAGCGTTTGCAGGTTGTGCTGGGTACGCAGGCTGGAGTCGAGTTAGACCGGCTATAAGGAGTCCAGAGTATGTATGCTCTGCTCAGGAATTTGGGTCTCTGTCTGCAGGTAATGGGGCTTTGCCTGAACTGCTGTGTGACCTTGGGTTCATTACTTAGCGTCCTGTGTCTCAGCTTCATCATCTGTAAAACACAGATAATAAGTGATACCTACCTCACAGGATTTTTGAGTTAATGTATGTAAAGCCCTTAGAAGAAGAATGTCTGCAACCTAGTACTATGTCCATGATAGCTGTTAGTGGAGCACTACTAATATTTTTCCAAAGTCAGAAGTTCTTAATTAGCCCTCGCCAGTTTGGCTCAGCGATTAGAACATTGGCCCACGGACCAGAGTCATATTTTCGGTTCCTGCTAGGGGCACTAACCTTGGTTGCAGTTTGTCCCTGCCGGCCTTGAGGTCGTGTGGGTGGCGACCAGTCGATGTGTCTCTCTCACATCAATGTTTCTCTCTCTTCCCCCTCTCTCCCTCCCACTTTATCTGAAGATAAATGCAAAATGTTCTCGAATGAGGATAAAAAAAAGTTCTTATAGTGTCTAAATCAGCGAATTTCTCTTCATTTTCTAGGAACATGCTGTTTCAAATACTGAAATGCAAATGTCCTGTCATTTGTTTCAATGCCAAGGACTTTGTGAGAACAGTGCTGCAGTGTTTTGGTGGTGACGGCAGCTGGAAGCATGGTAAGTCGGGAAGCTGCCACCTGACGGGTGGCAGCACAGGACGCCGAGGGACACTGGTGCGGCCGAGCGCTGCATCTGAGGGTCTGCTCCAAATCTGGGAGTGTCAGAACTGACCCGGATTGCTGGACCCCTGGGGGTGCATTCAGAGAACTGGAGACCCCCCTCCAGAACACCAACACCCACCTCAGCAGTGATCTCTGTGTCCCATTTTCGTTCCTCTACAACTGCCCCCATTTTCAAAGCCCCCACCCCCTGGGTTATTTTATAGCAAATCCCAAGCCTCAGATGAATTAATCTATAAATACTTGAATTATATGACTGAAGTACGAGGATTTCACCTCTAAGATGATGCCATCACCATTATCTCCCCTAAATCAGCGCTCATTTTTTGATGTTATTAGATAGCTAGACAAGGTTTGTACTTCTCAGTTGTCTTTAAATGCTTTTGTTTGTTTGTCTTTGTTTTTTACAGTTTGTTTGAACTGAGAGCCATACCTGGAATAGGTGTGGTATATTTCCTGTCTCTTCTAGTCTGTGCGTCCTCTTTCTCTGCTTCACGTCCTTGCAATTATTTTGTCGCTGTTGATGCAGCCAGCTTGTTTGCCCTGTGGGATTTCCCACAGTCTGGACTTTGCGGTTACATCCCCTTCTTGCCAATTATATTCTCCTTTCTCCTCTCTGCCTTGTAAATTGGCAGGTAGATCCAGAGGCTGGATCAGACTCATGCTGGATTTCAGGAGGGCAAGGCTGCTTCATAACTCTGACCTTGACCCTAACCCTAACTCTAAGCTAACCCTACATGGTGGTGTGTCCTTCTGTCAGGAGCTACATCATGTTGGTTGTCTTTTTTGTGCTGTTTGAACTCCTATCTCATATATTAACTCTTCTTGTCTACCTTTCATATTTTGTACTTTAGAGTCTATTTTTGATCTCTTTTTTTTTTTTATCCTCACCCGAGGACATTTTTCCATTTTTTGTTCAGATAGAGCGGGAGGGAGAGAGAGGAAGAGAGAGAGAGAAACATCGATGTGAAGGGACACATCGAGTGGCTGCCACCCTCACGACCAACCAGGGCCGGGGAAAAACTGCAACCGAGGTACGTGCCCTTAGCGGGAACCGAACCCGGGTCTCTCTGTACCACAGGCCGACGCTCCAACTGCTGAGCCAAACCGGCCAGGGCTATTTTTGATCTCTTCATTTCTTTTTTATTTAAAAATTCCTCGTTTCCATTCTTTTTTTTTTTTACTTAAGGCGTTACTTGTTACATATATCTGCTTTTGTGTATTGCCAGTTTTCATTTCTGAAATATGTTTATTCCTGAAAATTATTTTTATTTCCCTTTCCTGAATTCTTTCATTTTCTTTGTTCAATTTTTCTTTGTCTAAGTTACCTAGTTTCTAAGTATTTCCAAATTTTATTTATTTATTTTTCATGGATTTTATTATTTTCTTTTTTCTTTATTGATTTTAGAGAAAGAGGAAGGGAGAGGGAGAGATAGAAACATCGATGAGAGAGAATATTGATTGGCCAATTCCTGTATGCCCCACACTGGGGATTTGGCCCACAGCCTGGGCATGTGCCCTGACCAGAAATTGAACTGGCGACCTCCTGGTGCATTGGTCGATGCTCAACCACTGGGCCACACTAGCCGGGCTATTTTCTTAGCTCATTTAAAATTTGTTTTGTTGGAATTTCTCTTTCAACTACTGGCATTTTCTCCCTAGTGTCGAATTGATCCTGGCAGCCTTCAGTTTACTCATTATAAGAGTTTATAGGGACCAGCCCCCAGACCATTCCAGCACTGTCAGACTTTCCCCAGGGATTTTCAAAAATATATGTTGATAACAACCCTTAATTTTGGGACATTAGAGTTTTGGAAGAGCAAATAGAATGAAGAAGCCCTGGGGGGTCAGTTAGCATTACCAGTGTTTGTGAGATCCCATAGCTGGAGGGCAGGCAGCCACTTCCTCCCATCCAGAGTTCCAGAGCACCAACACCCGAGACTTCTCAGACAGCAAGCAAAAGGCCAGGGCCCCGGCCACTTCAGTACATGTGAACCTCTCAGTGAGCACAGGGCAGCGATGCCAGAGCATTTAGTGTCATGTGATGTGGTCCGAGACGCAGTGTTGTTTGAAGGCGGATGCCTTGCTTTTGTGCCGCACAATTCAAGATGTTAAAGGAACTTGAAAAGTAATTACAATTCAGATTTATTTCTTAATTTATCAGCTCCCCAGCCCTTTATAACTCCCCCTCTATGTCTAAAATACTCTGGTGCTAAAATGTACCTATTTAGCAAATATTCTTATTTTGTAAAAAGCACCTGTACATACGTCTCGCACATAAACACTTGGGGGACATGACCTCCCAGGCTCCCAGGCTGGTCTCCCTGGCTCTTTTCACGTGTCTAGCTATCCCACAGGACATGCTTGTGGCAGGGCGCGTGCCCAGAGTGTCCAGCGTCGTGTCCTCGTACACCTTGCTCGCCCTCCCCAGAAACTTGTGCTGTGTGCTCAGGCATTTCTTTACCACTGTCTTCTGCCCATGAGACTTGGGTTCTTGAACACTCCATGTGTGATGCTGTGTGAGAGGCCAACGGAGGGAGGGCACGACTTGGAAGGAGCAGTTAAGTTGGCCATTGAGAAGCAAAGAGGGAGGGAGGGGGAAGAGGGAAAGGTGCCTGGGGCTGTGGGAGGCCTGGGAGCCAGAAAGAGAGAAAGAAGGCAGGAGGTATGGTGAGGCTGCTGACTTTGATCTCTTTTAACATTTTGAAATATCTAAATTTCAAGTTAGCTTGGAGTCTCCACCCCTTTTGGGTATTTGGGATCAATTCCCATGGAGATTGGCCTTGTAGAGCCTGGGTTTGTGGAGGCCACTTATCAAAGGTTCGAAATTCCTTAGTATTGACAGAACATCTTTTGGTTCTTACCTCTGTAATTTGAGGGGATGGTAATACTATGATCATTAATTTGAACCTTGAGAACCTTGTAAAAGCAGAGAAAAGTACAGTTCCTCATTATCTTAGAATGGTTAAATGAACTTTTTCTCTTCAGTTGCTGATTTTGTAGGGCTAGATCCCAGAATTGCCGCGTGGCTTATAGATCCTAGCGATGCTGCACCCTCTTTTGAAGATTTAGTGGCAAAATACTTGGAAAACCCCGTCGCAGTTAAAGTGAGCAGCACATATGGAAACTCCTCAAGAAATACTGTGGTGAGTTGTTTTAAGAAAAGATTTTATCAACCTTAATACAACCCTAACTTTTCTCTAGAAACTCTTTCTACTTCAGAGACAGTCCAGTAGTAGAAAGAACATTGCCAGTATTCACTTTTACTTATTTGGCACAAATGCTGTTTGTCCTGACGTTTCTGGTCGATATGAATAAGGCGGGGTGATTTCTATTTGTAGAACTGTTCCTGGGGAATCCCATTCACAGCTGATCTTCTCGCTGGACCCTGGTGTTGGAGAGCTGCTTATTTATAAGCCCTCAGTGCTGGTGATGTGGCAGTGTGGCAGAGGGCCTGGGGTGGCCACGCTCAGTCCACAGCCACCTTCTCGCGTGTGCACCCAATCCTGAGGGACCACTGTCTGAACAGGCAAGAGTGCTCGAAGCTCTGGAACTTGTGGCCCCTCAGCAGGTGTCCCAGTGGGAGCAGCAGGGGCTACAACTGCCCCCCCCCCTTTAAATCCTCACCCGAGGATATTTTTCCATTTATTTTCAAATAGAGTGCAGATAGAGTTGGAGGGAGACAGACAGAAACATTGATGTGAGACAGACACATCGACTGGTTGCCTCCTGCACAACCCGGACCAGGGCCAGGACTGAACTGCAACCTTGGTACATGCCCTTGACTGAAATTGAACCTGCAACTCTTTGGTCTGAGGGCTGACGCTCTAACCGCCAAAGCCAAACTGGCCAGGGCTGGGTCCCTCTTTGTAGGCCTCCTGGATGGAAGTTAACGGTACAGGTCACCAGTGCTGAGGGTGGGTGGGACACTGGTGCTGAGGGTGGCAACCTAGAGAGCAAAGTAGGTGGTGATGTGAACCTGCCACCCTGAACTGGGGATGTTCACTTCCTACCCTTCATCTCACAGACTCTGTGTCTCATAGAGACTTGGGGTTGAAATACAGAAGCTCACTGTCCCTTAATTTAAAAAATTGTGAGAGGGGTATGGGCTAGTTCATAGACTAGGAGGAAAAGAAGAACCAGGCCTTAGGGAGCCAGGAACCAGGCAGCTCTGAGGACGCAGGGAGCAGGAGCCACAGGCCTGGGGCCAGCAGTGAACCACGACCTATTTATCATGTGTCCCTTTGGTCACTATCACATGTTTGCCCCTTGGAGGGGAGGGAGGAGCATGAGATTAGCAGTCCTACCCAGACTCCATGCTGTCCCCAAACAGAGGCTGAGATCTTAGTGCTGAAAGGAGTTGCCCACTTGTCTCATCAGCCCCAGTTCACAGGTAAGAAAGTGGAGGCGCAGAAAGGTTCATACAACACGCCTTGCCCACCAGGGTTGACATGAGGCCATGGTTCAAAGTTCGGATCTCTGACCCTAAAATCTGGGTTCTTTCTAGTATAACGTGTGAGTAGGTGTGGGAGTCGCTGAGGGGACAAAGCTCCTGCTCAGGCCTCATCCACACCAGCCTCACAGGAACTTCCCTTGGATCTCACCGCCCAGCCACGCGTCCACTGTGGAGGCCTGCGCTGCACGCGGTGGGAGGTGGGGTGGGCCACCGCGTGCTGCTCTGAGAGGCTGCGGACGGTTCAGGGAGGGGAAAGAGGACTGCAGGGGGAGGGCAGCATGGGAACAGTCCAGAATCACGAGAGACAGTGGCTCCTGTAGGGGAGCAGCAAGGCCACACCTGAGAAGGAGGAGGAGATGCGGCGCTGGGCCACAAGGAGCTCGATCTTATGTGGGAAGCTTGGGGGTGCTGCTCCTGCAGGCAGCTGCATGGCACCTGCGGGTGGCGGGAGTGGATGTGGATGGGCTCACAGTGCCCCCCCACGGCCGTTCATGGGTAGCCAAGCCCAGGGCTGACGAGAAAACAAAGCCAGTGTGTGTGCAGCCGGTCCTGCCACATGTAGGGGCTTGTCTCTACCATGGGGCCTGGAGCAGAGAAGCATCTGACTCACTAGACTCTTTGGGGGTCGAATGATCCTTTCACAGGGGTCACCTAAGACATAACAGTAGCAAAATTACAGTTATGAAGTAGCCAACAAAAATAATTTTATGGTTGGGGGTCACCATAACATGAGGAACTGTATTAAAGGGTCGCAGCATCAGGAAGGTTGAGAACCACTGTCTAGAGTCCGGGCAGTGGCGGGAGGGAGGATTAGACTGGGTTCGGGGTACTGTGGCTTATCCCATCAACTTGTGTGTCAGCTGAACACAGATCCTGTTTGTCCCCTCCAGGCCCCTGTGTGTGTGTGGAATGGATGGTGAGGGAGGAGCGTGGCGGCGTGGTTCCTCAGCTTGCTCGTGGGGGGCGGAGGCTGTGGTAGCCCAGAGGCCAGGTCCACAGCCTTCTGTCTCAGCCACCATGTAATCACACTTTGGGCGCTTGGCTTCTTTGTGGCTCATTGCCTGTAGAATGAGGGGAAAAATGGGTTGAGGAACCCTGGCTGATGTGGCTCAATGGTTGGAGCATCAACCCATGTACTGAAGGGTCACGGGTTTGATTCCCAGTCAAGGGCACATACCTGGGTTTCAGGTTTGATCCCTGGCCCCTGGGGTTGGGGCATGTGCAGGAGGCAACCAATAGATGTGTCTCTCACATCAATGTCTCCCACTGCCCCGCCGCCTTACACTCTCTCAAAAAAAAATCTATGGAAAAAGATATCCTCATGTGAGGATTAACAACAACAAAAAATGGGTTGGGAAGAAAGTGTCAGGTGACAGGTGGCTTGCATTTGGCTAATAAGAAGTACATTCCTGCCCTGGCAGGTTTGGCTTAGCAGTTAGAGTGTCGGCCTGTGAACCAGAGAGTCCTGGGTTCGGTTTCCGCTAAGGGCACGTACCTCAGTTGCAGTTTTTCCCCGGCCTGGGTTGGAGTCATGTGGGTGGCGACCACTCGATGTTGCTTTCTCACATCGATGTTTCTCTCTGTCTTTCTTCATCCCTCTCTCACTCTCACTCTGTCTGAAGATAAATGCAAAAAAAAAAATGTCCTCAGATGAGGATTAAAAAAAAAAAAAAAAAAGAAGAAGTACATTCCTGCCTTGGCCAGTTTTTCTCAGTGGTTAGAGCATTGACCCACGGACGAAAGGGTCTCCGGTTCATTTCCCGGTCAAGGGCACATAACTAGGTTACAGGTTCAATCCCTGGCCCTGGTCAGGGTTGTGTGGGAGGCAACTAATTGGTGTGTCTCTCTTACATCGATGTTTCTTAATCTTTCTCTCTCTCTCTGTCTCTCTCTCTCCCTCCCTCCCTCCCTCCCTTCCACTCTATCTAAAAGAAATCAATGGAAAAATATCCTTGGGTGAGGATTAAACAAAACAAAGGTACATTCCTTAGTATGGGACCATCTACTTGAAGTGAAGGGTGATGCTACAGACATGTGATATCTGCTGTGGAAAGACTATGAGACCTTGCTAGTAAAATGCAAAGAGTTGTGTCCCTACCTAGATTGTGGCTGTCATTGCCTGATTTTTAATTCTTTTGATCTTTTTAGAATCAAAATGTATGTGCGAACCTGAGGATACTCCACAGGCTTACGATGGAGCTGTGTTCCCAGCTGAAGGCAAGGCATTTAGTAGCTTCTGGTGAGCAGCTCACTGGTCATCCAGCTGGCTGTCACTTGCATCCATACTCAGGAAGCGATGAATGTGCGGGAAACACTGAGTTCCGAGGCCAAGTTAACCTACATCACTCATGAGACAGTAGTCAGATGATAAGACCTGAGGTTTTTAAAATGTTTCTCTGGGTTGACAACAATTGTAACATTTGTTGGAACATTTCTAATGCTGCAGTTAACATAAAAGCTAAGAGTAATTTTAGTTAATGGTGAAATGGACACATTGGGAAGATCAAGAAGAGTTGAATGAAGGGACTGTGTACACAGTGAGCACAGGGGTGAGGGACCAGCATGGGATGGAGAAGCCTCCAGGAACAGGTGCTGACTGGGACCTTTCCCACCCCTGGGCTTGAAGGGCCAGCTGGCACCAGGACCTGGGAGAGCGGTGACCCTGCAGGGGATGCAGGTCAGGAGTGGGTGGTGGAAGCTGTGCTGCAGGCAGAGGAGTGGGCCGCAGTACGCTGGGCGGTGGGGAGAGGAACTTCTGTCCCCTCCTGCTGCCCAGAGCAGAGGGGCCCAGGTGATGCAGCCTGGAGGGCGTCAGCAGGGCAGAGAAGGGTCTGGAGGGGCAAGTGGAGAACATGAGGGCGGTGGAAGAACCCACAAGGCCAAGGACCCTCAGATGGTAGCGGGCAAGATAACAAGGATGGAAATGCTGAGAAAGAGCATGGGAGGTGACCTGAGAAGTGGAAAGGTATTTCCTGCTTTGGTGGGCATGACCCACTATGAAGATTTCACTGCTCACGATTATCTGTGGAGTCCATGCAAATTCTAGTCAAGTATTTGTGAATTCAGTTTACCTGTTCTGAATTAAAATGGGTCTAAAAGTCCACAAGTACCTAAATTACACATAAAACTTGGGAGTGCAGCCTGTTCTGTTTCTCAGTCTCTACCAGGTCTTGGTAATACAGTAGGACACTTGGAGGGAATGGGGCTTTTATAGGGGCTGTGGGGTGGGAAACCTTGTCCACTGGAGGCATGGCCTCAGCTCTAGCTCAGCAAAGTCCGGAGGCTGTTCAGCAAAGTGCAGGCAGAAATGATGATGTAAAAGTGACAGTGCCCGGCCAGTGTGGCTCAGTGGTTGAGTGTTGACCCTGCACCAAGAGGTCGCCAGTTCGATTCCTGGTCAGGGCACATGCCCAGGTTGTGGGTCCAATCCCCAGTGGGGGCATGCGGGAGGCGGCCAGTCGATGTTCTCTCATTGATGTTTCTATCTCTCTCTCTCCTCCCTTCCACTCTCTCTAAAATCAATATAGAAAAATTAAAAGTGACAGTGATATTTCTTCCTATCAAACAGGCTCATGGTTTATGGCGACTCTTCTGTACTCTGGAGCTTCCTCTGGTACCAGTTCTGGCAGGTGAGCTGCCGCGATGATGTAACGCCAACCTTTCTAGAGAATTCTTTTCATTGTTTGGGGGTAGGTAGAGTATCACATGGGCACTGAAGAGGTGGCGAGCCCTTTATTTCCCCTTTCTGTAACAGAGGGATGGACCACATCACCTCTTGATGTAGAGGGACCAGAAGGTTCTGACATGTTGCCTGGATCTAGGTGCCCTGGCCAAGGGACCATCGCCTCTTGACTTCCTGGCTCCTGAGAGCAGCAGTGCGGGGAGGGCCTGCCTGTGTGCTGAATGTGTCAGCAGTTCCGGGGTCCTGGGATGTCCTTTGATCCTTCACGAGAACCCTCTACAGCAGCAGTTCTCACCCTGTGGGTCGCCACCCCTTTGGGGGTCGAATGACCCTTTCACAGGGGTCGCCTAAGACCATCGGAAAACACATATTTTTGATGGCGATTCATAACAGTAGCAAAATTACAGTTATGAAGTAGCAACAAAAATAATTTTATGGTTGGGGGTCACCACAACATGAAGAACTGTATTAAAGGGTGGCAGCATCAGGAAGGTTGAGAACCACTGCCCTAGAGGAACTTGGCTGGGCTCTCCTCTGCCTTGGCCTCTCAGTCCCCCCCTCTGCCCAGGTCCTGATGGGCACAGGGCAGCAGAGCCTTGCCCAGCTCCCTTGACCGGCAGGGACAAAGTGCCATCCAGAGTATAGTTGGCTAATGCGTGTCCCCATGCTCACTACCACTACGGCTGGGCTTCAGTACTGGCCCTCAGGGTCACCTGGCCAAGGTGTGCTCGCAGCAGGTGCTCACTCCTGCCCGCTGCCTTTCATGGAAAAGAGTCGCTGATGGTAACTTTATCTGCTTTCATTTTTGGACACAGTGATGGAAAGCCACTGCATGCAGGTGAACCAGGAAGACTTGCAGAGGACCTCGGCACTCCTTGGGGTACGTTATGATTGAGGCCCTGGTGTTGTCAGCACTCTCCATGACAAGTTGTTCCCTGTGGCTGGTCCAGAGCAATTTCCCTTTTCTTCCCAGACCTGTGCTGACCTGCTCCTCTTTCTCTGACCCCGGTAGGGGTGTCACACAGGGACGGGACTTAGACTCACATTGCATCTGGGTGCTCCCTTAGTGTGTGTGGACTGGGCTGAATGCATCCTCAGTGATCTTCTCAAGCTGGGTTCTTGCAAGGACATTGCCCCCTAGAGTTTGATGAGGGGAATTCGGGCTTCTTGGATTTTTTGATTTTTTTCTTTATTGATTTTAAAGAGAGAAGAAGGGAGAGGGAGAGAGAGAAACATTGATGAGAGGGAACATCGATTGGCTGCCTGCTGCATGCCCCCCACTGGGGATCGGGCCCACAACCTGGGCATGTGCCCTGACGGGGAATTGAACCAAAGACCTCTTGGTGTATGGGTCAATGCTCAACCACTGAGCCACACCAGCTGGGCATCTTCTTGGATTCTTTAAAGAAGCAAAAACAGCCTGGCTCAGTGGACTGAGCGATGTCCCATGGACTGAGAGGTCCTGGTTCAATTCCTGGTCAGGGCACATACCCAGGTTGTGGGCTCAGTCCTCAGTAGGAGGCAGCCGAGTGATGTTTCTCTCTCCCTCTCTCTAAAAAAATCAATAAAAACTTATTTTTTCAAAAAGCAAAAATAAATTTCTAATAGTGAAAAATAAAAAACACAGAGGGATACGTAAAGATGCATAAAAAGATGCATAAAATGTTTCACTTCAGTCCTGGCCAGCAGCTCAGTGGTTAGAGCCCAAACACCGAAGGGTCACGGGTTCAATTTCCGGTCAGGGGCACATACCTGGATTGCAGGTTTGATCCCCGGTCCTGGGTGAAGCACCTGTAGGAGACAACCAGTTGATGTGTCTCTCTCTCATTGATGCTTCTCTCTCTGCCCCCACTCCCTCCCTTCCACTCTCTCTAAAAATCAATAAAAAATATTTTCTGGTGAGGATTAAAAAAAAAAGTTCCACTTTAGTTTTTTTTTTAATTAATCCTCATCCAAGGATATGTTCTTACTGATTTTAGAGAGAGAGAAATATCTATCAGTTGCCTCCTATATACATCCCAACTGGGGATCGAACCCGCAACCTCCTGACTGGGAATCGAACCCGAAGCCTTTTGGAGTACGGGCTGACGTTCCCACCAACTGACCCAGCCAAGGCCACTTCAGCTCTTTTAAAATAGAAAATTCTGGTATAACATCTCCTAGGTCAAAGCAGAGAACTCCAGAAGTCCTTCGTGCCCTTTCCCCGTCGGAACCCCTGCCTGCTGCCCACAGGCTGACATTTGTAGTCGTTACGTTCTTGCTTTTCTGTGCAGTGTTTCCATTCAGCACCTGAACAATATGCTGAGCTTTCCTTCTGAACTACAAGGAATAGTCGTGCCTGACCCATTTCCCTCAGCCTCCCTATCTCGCCTCCGCCACACCCCGTGTCCCTTGGTGCTGTGGTCTTCCATTGCATGACCGCCCCACTATTGACAGGCATCTGAGTTGCTTCCTGTCTGCAGTCATTAAGAACCATGCTGCCCCCTTGAGTGTGTCTCTGGGGGGTGACGCCTGCTTCTTTGGGGTATAAGGCAGGGTGTGCCTGCTGGGGGTTGGAGCACAGGTTGGCATTGCTCAGCTAGTTGCTCTCCAAAGTCTCACCCGCCAGCAGCGCACACAGGGTCCTGGCACAGTGCATCCTCTCCCTCACCGGGCAGCAGACTTTAGAGTAGCCATTTTGGCGAGGACGTAATGATATTACAATTTTAGTTTCTATTTTTCTGATTATTAATGAGGTTGGGCAGCTTCTCATATCATCAGTGGCTGTCAGGAGTTTCTCTTTGATTGAGGATCTGCCCACATTTTGTACTCATTTTGTATGGAGGGTTTTGTCTTTCTCTTACTGATTTATAGGACACCTTAATGTATTCTGGCAACAACCTTGGTACATACCCCTTCTCCTCTGTCTTACTTTCTCACTCACATATGGTGTCTTTCGATGGACAGGTGTTCTCAGTTTTTCATGCAGTGTGACTTGTCAGCCTTTCTTCACAACTGGTGCTTTCTGTGCCTGTCTGGGAAGTCTCCTCACTCCAGCACCTGAAGTGTTCTCATGTGCTAGAGTTTCCGAGCCTTGCATTTAGGTCTATAGTCCACCTGGAACTGATTTTTCTTTTTATGTACTTTTTAATTAAGAAATAAATTACATATGGTGAATGGTACAGACCTTTTTTATTTATTGTAATAAAATACACAACATAAAATTTATCATTTTAAGTGCTTCTAACTGCACAGTTGGGTAGGTTCAAACACACTCTCATGGTGTGCAGCCATCACCACCCTCATCCCCATCACTGTTCACCTTGTGAGATGGAAATTCTGTACCTATGAAACACTAGCTCCCCATTTTCCCTCCCCCTAGCCCTTGGCAACAACATCTACTTTCTGTCTATAATTTTGACTAAAGTATTTCGTATAAGTGGAATCAGCTTGTCTTTTTGTGACTGGCTTATTTCACTGAGCAGAATGTCCTTAGGTTTGTCCATGTTGTAGCATATGACAGGATTTCCCTGTTCTCTCAGGCTGAGTAATGCTGCATTGTATAGGTACACCACATCTTTTTTTTTTAATCTTTACCTGAGGATACTTTTCCATTCATCTTCAGATAGAGTGGGAAAGAGAGAGAGGGAAAGGGAGAAACATTGATGTGAGAGAGACACATTGATTGGTTGCCTCCTGCATGACCCCGAACAGGAGCGGGGATCGAACCCGAGACTCTTTGGTCCTCAGGCTGACGCTCCACTGCTGAGCCAAACCTGGCAGGGCTGTACACCACGTTTTACTTATCCACACATCAGTCGATGGACACAAGCAACTTGGGTGCTCCCATGTTTCAGTTGTTGTGAACAATGCTGCTGTAAACATGGGTGTATAAATATAGTCGTCCCTCGTTTATCGCAGTTAATCCGTTCCAGACCACCGGTTGCACCTGGCGTTGAAGAGTTCCTGGGGTGCTCGAATACATAGGCCTACAGTCCATACACACAGTAATTTTAATTTTAATTGTAATACAGGGGTGTATAATTTGACTCAGACAACTGAGCACTTACTGTATCATTTTCACTGTCTCGATCAACTTTTTAATGAATATATTTGAGAAAATCGTGATAGAGTGAAACCACGAAAGTCGAGGCACGAAGTGGTGAGGGACGACTGTACCTCTCTGAGATCCTGCTTTCAATTCTTTTATATCTCGTGGTCATTGTATTTTTAATTTTTTAAGGAACTACCATACATTTTCTGCAGTGATTGCACCACTTTACATTCTCACCGGCAGGGTACAAGGGTCTCAGTTTCTCCACATCCTTGCCAACCCCTGTGGTTTCTGGTTTTGACAGCAGCCATCCTATGAGTGTGAGGTAGACTCATTGTGGTTTTGATTTGCATTTCACTAATTATTAATGATGTTGTGGATCTTTTCATGTGGTTATTGGCCATTTGTATATTTTCTTTTTTTAATTTTATTCCTCACCCGAAGATATTTTTCCATTTATCATTTGACAGAATGGGAGGAAGGGAGAGAGAGAGAAACAGAGAGAAATATTGAGGTGATAGATCCACATCAACTGGTTGCTTCCTGCATGACCTGACCAGGGCCAGGGACGAACCGCATCCGAGGTATGTGCCTTTGACTGGAATCGAACCCGCGACTCATTGGTCCATGGGCCGATGCTCTAACCACTGGGCAAAACCGGCCAAGGCTCCATTTGTATATTTTCTTTGGTAGAATATATCTTTGATTTTACCCCCAATCTTTTTTTTTTTTTTTTTAATCCTCACCTGAGGACATTTTTTCACTTTTGTTCAGATAGAGTGGGAGGGAGAGAGGAAGAGAGAGAGCGCGAAACATTAACATGAAAGGGACACATTAAGTGTCTGCCTCCTGCACGACCCCAACCAGGGCCGGGAACGAGTCCCCCCATCCCCTTTTTTTTTTTCATAATTGAGATTTTATTGTTTCTTTTGAGGATAAGTACACAGACATTTCAATTTGTACACAATTCTTAATATACGTACCAAAAATGTAAAGTCATGTAGTTGTGATTCTTTTCTAAACATTCCAGTGACTTTCCAGCTTAAAATTTGGAGGCTAATTTTCCTCAAGAGTATCAAGTATCAATATCTTCAAATGTTGATATGCTGTTACATTAAAGTCCCACTAATTCACAATTTAATGTATATACTACATAATCCAATTGTCAGGCTTTCACAGCACATTCACAAAGTTACTAAGAAAACTGGACTGCCACACCAAAGATGTGACAGAGCGCAGGGCCTCCTGACAGGGAGAGCCGAGATCAAGGAGTGGCTTCTTTAGGAAACAATTATACCAAAAACGTGGGAATAGAAGTAATTTAAAATGTTCAAGGCATATTAAATGCACAACTGACTCCAAACTGCCATTCATGCTTTATATTACAGGATATAAAAACCTCCCCATCTATGGACTCTTAAGCTGACACCCAAGACCATCAAAGCCTCCCATAATCAATATCCCACTATTTTCTGGTTGTACCAAAAAATAAACAACCAGCAAATGATTTCACTTCTTATAAAAAAGCATTTACACTTAAAAAAAAATGGGATGAGGTGGAATTCACTCCTTCTTAAAAATGTTTCTAGAGCTACTAAAAAACTTGCATTTACAAAATAATTGATAAAAATATTCCTCTGGATTGTACAGGAAGGGAGACAGGGACCACTGGTCAGACAGGGTACATGATATTAACCAGACTGGGCTTCTTTCTCTCCTGCTTCATCTGAGGCTGGACTCTCCTCGTTTCAGTTTCTCCATCTTCCGTGGGTAGATCTTGAGGTTCCTGGTCAGCCACTTCGGCCTGCTTTCCCCTTTCTCCCCTTTCCCTTTCGTTTGCACTTTCT